TTCAGAACCATAGAGCTCTTGGTATACAGAGCAGGCCTGATGTGGGCGACTGGGGCCCTATATCTCTGTTCTGTCATGCTCGTATGTCTGGTATATTGTCGTACTAGCCTGTCGTAATTATTTGTTAGCGATGTGCGGAGTGGAACACGCTCTGTGCCTGTTCTAACCAGTTGGGTATGAAATAAGATGCAATGTAGTGGGAGAGATGCTGACTTTTATGCCGTGATTTTTAATCAGCGCTACCGAGAAGAGACAGCATAAATATGTTTCCTTTTTTGTGGTATCTGTGCGGTTTCCACACGACAGCGATAATGAATTACCTCAGCTGATCACATCACCGATCTTATGCACTGAATTCATGTCACTGTAGCTACCGGCTGACACCAAACAGCAGGATGAATAATGAATATTTTATCTATCCATTGATGGTACATCGTGGTATCGTGCCATTTTATTTTCACCACGAGAGTGGAGGCATTTCCTAATACGGACGTGGACATTAGGGGTACCCATTTTTGGGTCAATTTTTCAAATTTTAGGTGGGGGTGGATTTTCCCATTATTTGGTCTATTCTGATTGCATCTGTGCCAAAAATAGCGAAATCAAACGATTTCTAGGGGTCGCGAATTCAAAATGAAAATGCCAGTTTTAGCGAAAAATCGACCAAATTAATGCTATTTTATTTTGGAACAAGGTTACTATGCCAACAGGTTGGAGTCAATTTTCCCATTATTTGGTCTATTCTGATTCCATCTGTGCCAAAAATAACGAAACGAAACGATTTCTAGAGGTCACGTATTCAAAATGAAAAGGTCAATTTTAGCGGAAAATCGACCAAATTAGCATTATTTTATGTTGGGACAAAGTTACCATGCCAACGGTTTGGGGTCGATTTTATCATTATTTGCTCCGTTCTGGATCTAGCATTTTTTGCTCCGTTCTGGATCTAGCAGTGACAGAAATAACGATATCAGACCACTTTAAGGGATCGCAACCTTGCATTGGAAGTTTTAATTTTACTTGGAAAAATGAATTCATATGAATGGATATAAATGCGCAAAACCAATGTGTTGCAGTGGTATTAATGACTGTTTGACACCGTGCAACATTGCTTTAGTTGTAGGTATACCTATTCGACGTGCAGCGGTAAAAGAGAGCACCAAAAATATCATTTTGGTCAATGAACAGCATATGCTCATTTACACTCACTGTGGCTTAGACCGTCATTAGTACCTACCTACACAAGACCGTAACTCTTAGAACGACTGGCTATGTAGTCAGAGGGCTAAAATCAGTGATCGAAACTTTCTCATTAGGACCATTTAGTTTTCAATGAGTCGTCTTATTCAGCAAAAGAAATGACTGAACCCCAGGACGTAAACAATGAATATTGACACAATCTGGGTGGGAGGGGCATTAAAAGCCGTTACGGATGTAACGATATAACTCGTGTGTCATATTGTAACGGAAATATGGCATGAAGTAGATAAATAAGTTGCTAATGGCCTATTTATATCTATAACGAGATGAGAACAGCACCGAAGCTATGCCGGTATGCATGACCTATTGCCAATTCGCTAGCCGACCTCCCCTTAGTCCCGGAGTTGCAGACACGGCTGAGGGAGGGGCGCAAGCTTTACACCACCGCACCATTGGGTGACTGCTGTATGAGTGTAGTTAGCTTTTCCCCTCTCCCACAAACACCCACACCCACATACAGACTTTTGCTGAGACTGTTGACATAACTATTGTTGACTTGAGACGGGTGCAGATATCATGTCATGGAACTAGTGCCTGGTGATGGCCGCTGCCAGCAGCATCCTTGCAAGATAAAGTAACGGACCTTACGCTGCACTCTACAGGCCCAGTCCAAACCCTGGTGCTGAACTGAAGTCGAATGGCATTGGCTAAAGCTGAAAATTAGGAAGGTGCCGAGAGCTAAACGACTCAGCCAACTCCGAGGCAGATCCGTTTACTGACTCCTGGCATTGCCTGGGGGCCGACACATTGGGTGGGCCATGGACCTTAGGTGGCGGACCTAGTTCTCCTCGTCTTCAGCCTCTGCACGCACACTCCTTTATATGACGCCGCGTCCTGGTTACCACCATACAGCCCATGCAGGATGAAAATCTTCTGCTTCATTAGGTTCTTCAGATTCAGACGCCAATTACCTCAGATCACAAGTGATCTGTGCAAGGAGCTGTGAAAGGTCTTCGTCACGTATCAGCTATGCACGTATCAGCGCATGGCTAGTCGCCCGTGGTCGAAAATGCAAAGTCGTAAATGCTGTGCATTGTATCGGAAACTCTTACACTTAAGAACGGTGTGTACTCTTATCTGTCCCCACTGAAGAAATGGAATAGTAGGTAGATGGTTGGTAGGCATGGAAAGAATCGACGCTTTGCAGTTTATGTTTTTGGATTAGAAGTTGATATTTTTGGGTAGAACACCCAGATTTATTCTACCTTGTCTCATAGGTGTATGCGACAGTAGCGGTGGAACACCTTCAATTAAGGGGGGGGGGGCACTGCCGACTTTTGGCCCCATTCTTTCCATGCAACGCCCCTAGAGCTAATGTTAAAATGCCAAAATCAAAGGGGGGCACGGTGCCCCGGTGCCCTCCCCGTTCCGCCGCCTGTGGTCAGCGATTAGGACGGCGTTTCTTGTGGAAGTATACGGTCAAAATGGTTTGATCGTTTTTGAATTGCATGGTTTGAAATCCATTCGGAGCCATGATCTGTGAGATGTATCCTGAGCTAACTTGCGGAAACTGTACATAATTGTATGGACACAAAAGCCTGTCATGAACTGAGATGTGGCAACTGAAACGTCACATTTAAGTTTGACCTCACAGGTCATCAAAGGTCACCAATATCAAAGGTCACCAAAGGTCACATGAAGGCAGAAGATATCAAATATGATTACACGCCGACCAGAATGATACCAACAACAGGAGCAAAACATCACGGCGCTTTTCACCAAATGTTACAGTATCGACTTGTATTGATCGCTAGTAAAGCATTTAACCGGAACCACGTGATGGAGCACATCGATCTGGATGAAAAAGGAGCGTTCAATGACCCCTCTACCCTACTTTCGAAACAAAAAGTTTGCCTTTGGTGCGATTTACTATCAGCGTAAAATAGACATATTTCTAGGTAAATACGCAAATTTCAATGTCAATTCGCGACCCCTAAACCACCTTTGATTTCAATATTTTTTGCATCGTTGGAATCAGGAGCCGCGAAATAATGGGAAAAACCACCCCCACCCTCAAATTTCCAAAATCGGGAAAAATGGGTACCCCTAGTGGACATTTAACGTAGGCATTAAGATGTATTAAATGTTCTATTAATAACATACTAGTCACGGGAACATAACTACAAAACAAACAGCCTGTCTGGAGTGATAGCGGCACACTAATTACTAATTAGTGAGAGCCGATACACGATCAGTACCGACCGACTCCCTATGTGGTGTGTAGCTCCAGTCAGCTCATTGGAGCCGCGGATCAGAGCTCGTTACAGCTGAAGCCACGATCAGAGCGCAGCACGGCTGAACCAGCAGCTGATCCCTGTTGCAGCCTTCCCGCCGGTGCCGCAGACTGCTGTCCCGTTGCCACGATAACGCTGCACGCCGCGCGGACGGTCGCCGTGAGACAGGTCCCGGCCTTCAGAGTCGCCCGCGATGGGGAGATCGAGCCGCATGTCAGGCGCGCCGCCGTCGCTGTATAACTCTAAATCCGGCTGGCGCACCGCCCTCAGCCATGGACGGAAACCGGTCCTGCCGGCAGCCGACAGTATCCTAGGCCCCGCCGTCTGCGCCAGACCGAGACCGTGCCAGAGTGGAGTGGTCAGGGGGTTCGCCGACTAAAAATAGTCCATCAGAAAGTGTGCTGTCTAAATATATAGAACGGGCCGGCCCGGTCTCGACGAGATTATAGTTGACTTTATCTGCTGAACATGAATGGTAAGCGGGCCTTGATCTTATAGAGATGGGCTGATCTTATCTATGAAAGAATAAGAATAGAGGGAGAGAAAATGTCGACAAGGAATGCATAATAGAAAATGACGTCCATCATACCTACCTACATGTGCATTTTAGTTTATTGATCAGTTTATCGATCGGAATTAAAAACTAAATATTTTAGACGATAATAGTGTTTTCTTAACTTAAAAAATAACTGATACCTATTTGTGCCAATAATTCACCCAATCACTTTACGAGTGGCAGAGATTGAGGGACCGTGTCATCCTTGCCAATGGGCCTCGTCATGGGTGGCACCCATTAAGATACCGTTTTCTGCTGAATCGATACCAAGGCCCGGTTGTGCCCCATTTTATGTAAACAAGTTATGCTATCAATTATATGCTCGAAATTATTTGTAATGTACTTGTTATATAATTGACTTGATCACAATTCGTGACAGTTCCTGAGCCGCGCAGCACTGAATACCGGTTGTAATTTCATTGTTGCAACTCTTGGAACTGGCTTTTTACAAATCGAGCATTAGCGAGTGAGATGCTAGCTCGCGATAGCGTTGCAAACAGGCATGGCCTGTCAAACTTATGATGAAGTTATGGAGAAGTTTGTTAGTTAGAGGCTTTAGTCCCTTTAATTTTTCCCAGCTGTATGATTTACCGGCATGGCTTTTGACGCTTGGAAACAGTTGCCACCCAGTTACTTCTTGTCACTTGAAGCATCTGTTGAAAAGGGGCTCTCATTATGACATGGGATCGATAAGCAATTGACAGTAAGCACAACAATACTCCTCTGAAAATCGACCATTTAGGTCGCCAGATCCGCGGCCATATGAGCGTGGCTATATGATATGCAGCACTGTAAGTAGGTGGAGGGAACTACCAGTTACCACAATTTCACCGGTTGGGTAAAGTGGCCGCCCCACCTGTGCGACATATAACTATGCTGTGTGTGAAGTAGCACTGCATCAATGCGTACTCTGCCCTTCTCTATAGTGACACCTGTGTGTTCTTTTTCAGGATACTTTTTCGGACACGACTGGCTACCACGCGAATCGGCACCATGGGCCGGAGAAAAATACAAATATCGCGCATCACCGATGAAAGAAATCGACAGGTTAGTGCGCGGGTCCCCAAGAAGACTTGCTATATAACATTCACACTGGAACATACTTGATTTGGCGCACTGAAACGCTTGCCTTGCTTGTCATAGTTGCATACCTGCAATGTCTTGTTTGCAACTATACATCGAGATATAGCTACAACATGGGAATACATGAGATGAACAGCTTTATGTCATTCAACTTTGATAAATGATGCACATTTAAGGCGATCATCTCGCCGATGACCCCTAAAGCCTGCGCGTTATAAAATCACAAACGAAACATATACACAGCCATACGAATGGCGTGAATATGTTTCCGAGGAATTTGAATTTCATTCAATGCCTGAATGTTGCTGTTTTCGGATAATTTTTTCGTTTATTGCCACTTAAGTTTCTAAAAGCAAATTAATATTCCCCAGACCACAAGGGATTCATATTCACGAAATAAGCTGTCAAGTCTGCAGCTCCGTTACCTCCTTGCTTCATTTTATCAGCTGGTCGCATCAGCACCGTGAACGTTTCGTTGCCCGTCTTCTGCCAACACTATCGTCACCTGGTATCACGGCCAACCGCTCCGCCCCGCAGCGTATCGTTATCTATCACGGTTGAGAGTACATTGACCTCAGAAAAGACCGATGCCCCTCTCCCGGGGTTTCCTCAGCGTTGGTTTGCTATTTACCGTTGCTGCAGTATTTTGCCACTGACTTATTAAATCACGGTCATCTAAGCGAATCGTTGAAAACCTCGACTTTGAATAACAACGCTCTGGCAACTGAATCTCACTTTCTACTATTTTGATTTTTGATATTATCTTAGGATGCTGTTATAGAATACAAAATAATGTCTAAGAAACGAAAACACATCTAATCGTCGTTTCACTGGGCACGTGTTGCAAAATGATATGACAAGAAGGAATACAATGCTATGACAGTTAAACAATAGGAGACAATGACAAAGTCTAAAGAGGCACTCGATCATAAAATTTAGACAGGCGGACAATACTCATTTTAGGGCGTTGCATCAACTCAAGTCTTGTTGAGCTCTCCAGTCATTATCCATTTCACCCATACCCACCATTTACTCAAATTTCACGGAGTTTTTTATCGTCAGGTGACATTCACGAAGCGCAAGTTCGGCCTGATGAAGAAAGCCTACGAGCTGAGTGTGCTGTGCGACTGCGAGATATCTCTCATCATGTTCAACTCGTCCAACAAGCTGTTCCAGTATGCCAGTACAGACATGGACAAGGTGCTGCTCAAGTACACCGAATACAACGAGCCTCACGAGTCTCGCACCAACAAGGATATTCAGGAGGTGGGTCGGATAGAAACTCCAGGGCGGGCTCCTAGAGTGTGCAATGCACAGTGAGAGTTCCTATCTCCAGGCCCGGCTATTAATGAATTTGTTAATTGGGCTATTGCGTAGAGAATGAGGACTTTGCGACAGACAGCCAGTTATGCAGAAGCTGAAGACGTTTATTATTTGAATGATGATAGCTATTTTGGTAATCTACGATCGAACTAGTAGGAGTTTTGATGACCAATGGAATAGAATTTGACTCAACCTGAAAAACACTCACGTGATATTGCCATTATCAAATTGACACCTCTACAACACATATAAATCAATGATATACTGCCACCCGATAAGAATTATAACCAAATACCCGATACTAATACATACCCGATTCTAAATGTTACTTATACTAACTAAAAGCCGCATGATATAGTCAGAAATACATTGAAGCATGTTTAAATTTAAAACACCACCTGCCCAGTGCCCATCTGTGCCTTTGAGCGCTAGCTGAACTATAATGAGTAGAAAGTGCTAACTAGGTTATCACTCTAGATGTCGTTGAACCGGCGACCGGAGCCAGTTACGGATCTGCACTGTGTCGCTGCTGGGGATAGCGTCGACCGGTTGCCGCAGGATGGAGGAGATCGCCTCAGATGATGTAACAATGTCGGTCCGGAACTCAGAACTTAGAACGATAACTGGTCGTAGAACGTCACCATTTTCACTTAGAACCGGAGGAATAACGCGAACTCGCATTGGAATTCCAGGCATCCGTGGTACCTACCTATAGTACCTGCACGAATAACTTATCAATCTCAGTAGCTAAGCGTATATCTAACAAAATAGCGCAATATTACTCAACATATGAACCAAAATTTTCCTGTAGTTACCTGTCGAATTTGAATAATATTTTTTAGATTCAGTTTAGTTTCGTACTACTTTCAATAACTGTTTTGTTTTATGTTTACATATATATCACTTCAGCCTCTCAGTCCAAAATACTACGAGTATGTTTGCCGTCTCGAAAAGCACAAAAAACAAACATAATATTCATAACCATCATGAAAGTCACAAGCTATTATGGTAAGCTAGCGATGCCCATGTACCCATTGACACCGCCAGACACCGCGCGACGTCAAAGTCAGGTTTCGGCGAGATTAATGGTATAGGACGGAATGTGACAGGTTTCCCGAACGTCCCAGTCACAGACTGATGGTGATATCATGGGCGGCTAAACCCAAAACTGGCCGTTTTGGCACTGTGATGGCAACTGCGCGCCGGTACCGGTCCATACGGTGGTGCCAAAGTGTCGCCTCTGCACAGTGCAGTGGTGCACTGATGTGCGCAGTGCACTCAGCAGCATCCGGCACGGTTTGGTTGATGTGTTTGTTAAAACAGATACACGTACCGGGAAAATCTTAATTTATCTTTCCACAAATATCAGCAACATGAACGGATAGAAGCCTTTTCCGTCAAACAATCCGATTAAAGGGACTATCCCACCTTTAACATTGTGTTTGAGTTGAGATAGCCAAGTTTGCGGCGAGGTTCAGAAACCACTATCTATCTAGGTTGCAACCCCCGCGGCCTCTTGGTGTTGAAGAAATTCGTTCCCTTCATTTGAAAATGGGCCTTGTACAAGGCCCTATCTTCAACATGGAGCGACCGTTAGTGTGACGTCATCTCGTTTAGTCATTCTGATTTAAATGGGTTTGTTCGTTGAAAAATCGCTTAAAACCTGGTCTGAACTTTGTTGTGGTGCCCACAGAGTAAAAAGAATCAGCTTTATGACAGTAATGTGGCCTGGGGAAGGAGGTAATTTTGGGCTGTGACGTCACATATTTGAAAGTTTGTGTTAATATGGGAAGCCTAAGATGTTTAATGAAAAATAAATGCCAGAACCGTGTTCCTGGTCATCCAATCTATAAAGTCGGGCACAATTTAACTGGTTTTAACAACATTTTAGAAGGTGGGATAGTCCCTCGTTCGTTCGTATGAAAACTGCAGTCCACGTTCTCGCCCACCACTTAAAGAATCTTGTGCCCACCCACGAGGTCGAGTTTGCCAATAAAACCAATTAGTCGCAGGGGCGGATCCAGCCGATCCGTTTGGGGAGGGCAAAAGTTTAGCCGACCATATCGGCGACCCCGACCCACCACCGCACCAGTGACCAAGTGACTTTACAACGCCAGTAGGGTAGGGTAGCCGGGGGCAAGTCGCCCACCTCAATAGAAAATGTATATATCTCATGCGTTTTCCTTATTACAAACGAGTTTGTGATGCTATTTTATCAATTGGTTATTTATCTTGAATGTATGCAAGAGCTCAGTGTTCCTGATGAAGAGAAGTTGCTCATTTTTGCGATTTACAAAGAGAGTTACAAAAGGTCATGTTACCCATATACGGGGGAAGATGGTGTAAAATGTCCTATGTTAACCCGTGCGCAGCCGCGCTGGGGCTCCTGGATTTTCACTACCCTGGGGGATGTTTGAACACCCATTTACCTTCTAACTCGGCTCCTGTGCCACGTAGCAAAACGAGGTAGGTGGCGTTTGAAAGATCGTCAAACATAATGACCAAATAACCCCAGCCACTTTTAAGGTCAGGTCAGAGGTCAGGTCACCAGAGGCCATCAAAGGTGAAATTCGACAATATTTAGGTCCAGTTTCGACAACTTTTGAAAAAAACGGCGCATAACTCGGAAACGAATAGAGCTAGAGCACCCCAGAAAAACTGATTTGAGGCCTGTTATTGCTCTTTCTGGACAATTCCCTCAGATTGGACCTCAGATGAATGGCTTAGCCTCTAGGGGGAACTGCCAAAATAGACGATTTTTACGGGAACGGATTTTCTGCGATAACTTTTGACTCAAACCTTGTAAGATTTTACTGTTACCGACATCGTGCTCCTCTCGTCAAGACGCATCGAATGAGTTATAATTTGATCTTAAAGAGTGAACTTAAAACTTTGACAATTGGTCAAGGTCATGATCTGACCGGAAAAGGTCGTGTTGCATATCAGTGGATCCGTATTGTCAAGCTGAACACATCTAAGGTGTTTCTATTGCTCTAGATTGCCTCTATCAAATGTTATTAGCGAACTGTTGCAAACTGTTGCACATCTTTCGTGACCTGAGATGACCTCAGGGACATAAGAAGGGGTCACGGGTGCCATTTTCCGGTTCACTGTGACCTGTTTAGGTTGTAACTCGGTATTGTTAAGAATGACGTTTTTTTTATAAATTTAGCACGAATGTTTGAAAGGACGCATTGACGTAGCCGGAGCCCACGCTAAGTAGAGCTTGTTGCGTAGAGCCCGCCCCCTACCGTCCGATCGCGTAATTCCGGGTGACTTACATGGGGCATTCCACGATAGATCGTACCAGGCCCGTCACCCTGATCTCTCAGATTTTAATGAAAATCGGTCCTAAGGGTAATCATAAGCCCCAAAGACGCCTGGCAAAATATCAGACTTCTCAGATCAAAACTTTTTGAGTTATATTGCATTACATTTTTTTAACTTCGGTATGTAACGGTGAGTTTGATGGCCTATAACTCAAGAACGGGTTAAGCAACCAACAAAAAGTAAACAACACTAAGCTTGCGATGAATCAAAAATTAATATTACTATTTAAAAATTCAACAGAAAAAAAATTTCATTGTTGAGCAAAAACCTTAATCTTTTTTTTCATTTGCCTCTAATGACTTTTGGGACCAAAATTTTTCATATTTTTATTTTTTCAAAATAAACTTCATGTCATTCCAAATCGACATGCAAAAAATTAGAAAGGTGTTTTTTTTCTATAAATTCCTCATTTTCCCGCAAACAAAATGGGTTTCGGAGGGGTTGATACGACCCCAGCACGCCGTTTCGCTTCTAATAGAGCTAGAGCCTCGCGGAAAAAACGAGCGTGTGTGCCGTTACAAGTCGCAGCGATTGGTACCCGATTTTAACCCGGCCGGGCCCGGGGGGTAATCCCAACCACCGCAGCCCGGGGGGGGGCGTTTTTCGCCCCCCCTGTCTAACTCCGTAAATAAGGGAGCTACGGAAACAAAAGCGATACCAAACGAAAGGTCCTTACGAGACGATTCTAATGCACCTAAAATTTTTGACCTCAGGTCAATTTTCAAGGTCAGAGGTCAAGGTCAAAGGCCAAAACCGGCACATGTGTAGTGATCTCAAAGTAAGCCTTCTAGAGGACGGCAGGCTGCATCAAACCGGCAAAATTGGGTGTCAAACGAAAGAAGAGAATCTGAGGATTTCGAAAATGTGCTCCAAATCAAAGGTCAAGGTCAAGGTCACGCTCAAAATTGACCTCAAACTTGGCACTTTTTCGCACATCTTGCGTGCTAACTTCCAAGATGTTTTGAAATGTTTTGAGGCTTATCAGTTCCCTATTTGTGGTTCATCTTACGATACAAGGCTGCTCAAAGGTCAAGGTCACAGAAGAGTATCCCTGCTAGAGGCTATTTCACTGATTCAAGTTAGTAATAATAAATAAGACAATTTTGCCATCCGGAAGCTCTAAATGAAGGCTTAGAGGAAAATAGATGCCAGATTCGTGATCAGCGGGTACAAATCCATCATAAACGACCTTTCATGTGTCAAGGTCAACCAGAGGTCATTCGAGGTCACATGAGGTCAACATGAAACTTGACCTTTTCCGAACAAAATATATATCATTCGACGCGGCTTGACAAGGCGAATGCGATGGTACCACTGCCGTAGCTCTAGGACCATTTTTGTCGAAGTTATTCGCGAAAAACTAAAACCACATTTCGGGGTCGTTGACCTGACCTCTGACCTCAGGTCACCAAAACTATTTTTCTATTTTTCTCTAGGTCAAACGCTACACAGCCGTGCTCGTAATTTGTCTTTATCTCTAAAACTCTATTTTTAGCAGCTATTTGAAGTTTGCGTCTGTGACGCCGATTTTTGCCGTGCAGGGGTCTAGAAAAATGGACCTTGTGACGTCATCAAGGGGGCTAGGTCCAAATTTTTTACTTCAGAAGATGTCA